CCTTGGGCTTCATGGATCTAGGTGTTCAATTCCTTCTCCACATTAGGGAAGTTTTCTGTCATTATTTCTTTAAATACACTTTCTACCCCTTTGTCTTTCTTTGCTTCTTTTGGGACTCCGATAATGTGTATACTGTTTCTTTTGATGATATCCCATAAAGTCCTGTAGGCTTTTTGAACACTTTCATTCTTGTTTTCTTTTTTCTCTGTCTGGGTAGTTTCAGTTGACCAGTCTTCATGCTCATTGATTCCTTCTTTTGCTTGAATCTGATGTTGAAGCTCTCTATGGAATTTTTTCAGTGCAGTCATGTGCTCTTTAGCTCTAGAATTTGTGTTGGGTTCCTTTTTATGGTTTCTATTTCTTTGTTGAACTTCTCATTTTCCTCATGCTTTGTTTCCTTGATTTTGCTTAGTTGTCTGTGTTCTTTTGTAGCTCACTGAGGCTCCTTAAGATTGTTATTTTGAATTTTTTGTCAGGCAGTTTGCAGGTCTCAATTTCTTTAAGGTTGGTTATTGGTGATTTATTCTATACCTTTAATGGTATCATGTTTCCCTGATTATTTGTGATCCTTGTGGTATTGCCTTGGTGTCTCTGTATCTGAAGAAGACATCTCTTCCAGTCTTTACAGACTGGCTTTGGCAGGGAAAGCCTTTCACCAGTCTGTCTGTCCAGAGATTCTGAGCAGACTGGTTGGGTCTGTGTGTGAGTTTGCTGCTGGAGTCCTTGGGTGGGCTAGTCAGGTGCCTGGGTAAGCAGGTATGTGGCCCTGTGCCTGGGTCTATGGGGACTGACCTGGTAATATGTGGGTTTTGAGCCTGAGTGTGTGGGGACTGGCTTGGTGCTGGGATGGGACTGGGTGCCTGAAGCTTGGGTCTTCCAGGGTAGGCCTGGAGCCAGAGTCCGTGGTGGCTGGATAGTGTTGAGGTATACAGGGGTTCTCTGGAGTCTGAGGCTCAAGGGGTTGGTCTGGTACTGAGGTGAACCTGGGGCTGCAGAAGCCGAATTGGTCCTGAGCAAGTCTGGAGGATGGGTTTGCAGTAGCCCACCTAGAGTTTGGAGTCGCAGGGACTGGCCTGGTGCTGGGGTGAGCCTAGAGTCTGGGACCATAAAACTGGGTCTTGAGCCTGGGGCCATGGGAGCTGACCTGGTGCTTAGGGCAGGCCTTGTGCTGGGGTCCACAGTGAAGTGGGTGCTTCACTCTCCTTCCCCGTGGGGAGGGTGTTTCTCTCCATGCTGAGCTACCTAGGCAAAGGGGATGGGGTAACACGAGTAATATGAGATTTCCTGTCCTACCCACTTCAATGCATCTTTTCTTATTTCTGTGCTACACCCAGGTGCTGCAATCTCTCACCTGGAGTCCCTATCTCTTGCAAAGGTATTTTTGCAAATGGATAGTTGTTCAAATTGGTGTTTCTGCGAGGGTATGAACAATGGAAACTTATATTGTGCCATCCTGCTGACATCACTCTCTTATGGCCCACTTTAAAAATTACATATATGGCTTAAATCACATTTCAATTTCCAGTTATGTTGGACTTTTTAGACCGGTTCTCTGACTTTCATACCTTGTCTCTATTTTCTATTGCTTCTTTTTTTTTCTGGAATGTTTTCTTAGCTTTATCTTCTGAACATTCTATTTTTTTCATTTCTGCTATCACAGTTGTGCCTATTAATTATTTTCAAGTAAGTCACACTGAGATCTGTGTGTACTTTTATCCAGTATGATACATTTTATATTATTGCAACAAACTGAACTTTTAACACTTGCAAAACTTTTGAAAAATCTGTTCTTAAAATTGCACCAGCTTGATGTTTAATGTTACCATCAAAGATCAGAGGAGACATTCATTCAAGCTAAAGAACATGAGGTAATAAAGTTTGGCCGTGGTGAGGTCCAGACATATCACATCTGCTCTGAGTTTTAAAAGGGGCAGAATACTGCCCCACTTTGAAACATTTTCTCATTGTGAGAAAAACCTTGAGGAGAGACAGCTCATGAGCAGAGAGGGCTACAATTAATTTGGTAACATATGGCTGTTATACCACTATCATTATTACTTTATAATGTTTTGAGTAGTACAAAATAGGGCAGGAGACCATCGTTTAACTGGTCTCTAAGGTCTCTTGGTACCTTGAAATTCCTTATTACTTAAGATAATAAAAATTAGAATTAGGAAGAAAGTAACTCTTGATTTTGACAAGTACCTAACGGACTGAAGTGAAAGGGAACTTATTTGACTAAGAAATATGAACTGAAGTACTTAAGTCAGTTCATTTTCAATTAAGACCTAAGATACGAGTCTATACAATAAATAAAGCTAATGCATATACTTCTGTTTTTTGTAATGGCCCATAAGAAAGCTACAATGTAAAGAGATAGATATACTGCCTCAATATTTGCAAAAGTCACATGATGGCTGCCTTTAAATAGCTGAAAGAATATCATATGGTAGATAAATCAGATGAGTGATAGCATAAAAAGGATCAATGTACAAAAGAGACGTTTTTAGGCTGAGAGCTAAAAAATAAAACAATATACCTCAATATGTCATTTGTTCCTAAAAGTTTAGAAGCAGGGGCTGGCTGGATGGTTAAACACACACAGGACATGTTCAGAGAGAATTTTCTTACTGGAAATAATAGATACTCGCTAAAATTTTCCCAGTGCAGATTTTCTTTTTTTCTTACCAAAGGTAACATATTTTCTCAGAATTTAGAAGTAATGACTATTCACTGCAGGAAAATTGGAAAACAGAAAAGCACACAAAAGGAATTACTACCCAGAGAGAAGCAGTGTTAAATTTTGGCTATATTTGCCACCAGTACTTGGTTTTAAAGCATCATTGTGTGCATGAAAAATTGTATTTGTACAATTGTAGACATACAAAAGATTACCTCTTGCCCTTGTCCGCGGCTGAATAAAAGTAAGTTTCGGACTGGAGATTTCTCACCCCTGATATAAACTACTATAAGCTATTGAAGTAGAAAGTTACAGGAAACTCCATTATTGCTTTACGGAAGTAAGTACATGTATACTTCTTTGCATATTCAACATGCATGTTTTAGTACCTGCTACCTTCGAAGGCACTGGACTAATGCCCTCAGACATAAAGGTGAATGAGATGGGTGATGGAGATGACACCTAGTCAGAAGATCAAGGTAGAAGCAGAATGTGATTAAAAACCAGGACAGAAGGGTGGTTAAATGACATACGAAAATAGGGTTGCAAGAGCCTGTTCACAAAAAACAATCTACCAAAAGACACTTTCCATGTCTACCCCTGAAAGAACCTGGCATAGGAAAGACTCGAGATCCGAATTTTGTAAGCAGTACAGCAAGTCCTTGATTTCATTCGACATCATTTTGTTACAATGTTGATGAGATACTGTGAAACTTAACTTTTGTTTATATCAATTAGCCTATGGTAAAAATGGTTTCATTATACATTGTTTCGCTTAAAAGTCACAGAATCTATTGAGGGTGTTAAGAGAGGACTTACTATATTTTACACAGCACTCATCACTCAAAGAGTGTATTAACTTCTTTCACAAAACTCAAATTTTCCATCTATGTCTTTTATAAGCCACAAACCTTTCTGCCAAGTGTTGTCTACTACATTCTGTTAAATAAGAGTTTGATTTTGATGTATAGACATTTTCTTCATTACTTTAAAAGTGACGTTTACTGTCTTTTGCTCACATTCTGCTTTAGTAAAGCAAAGTGAAGCACTGAGAGTGAGCACACTGAGTGGCTAGTAGGTGCCAATGGTAACCAAGGAAACAAATAAATCAAAATCAGGAGTTACATTCTCCTATGATTGGCCTAATTTTGAATCTCTTAGGCAATAAGGAATTTTGATTCAAAAGAGAACTCTCTTTTAGGGATTCCACAGCCTAACTGGTAAGAAGATAGATATGCAAACATGCTGTCTTTTATGACAGCCCATACATTATAATGACAAACAGCCCAGTATTTGGAGTCAAACTGACCTGGATTTGAATCCAAGCTAGGTCACTTACTAGGTGTGAAATCTCTCAGAGCTTCTGTTTCCTTAAATGTAAAATGGGACCAGATACCTAAATTCATAGTGATATGAGGATGAAACAAGCCATTGAAGCATATAAAACTCTTGTTACCTGACAAAGAACAAAGCCTCCACAATATGTTAGCTGTTAGGCAGGAGAAAAGCAACATGCAAAGCAGAAAAGGGGCACAAAAGAAAACTTTTGACTCAAAAAACCTCTTTTGGCAAAATTTTTAAGTTGAGATCCAGTTATGGAGCTCAAGGAATGAAAAGTTGATCTGAAAATTTCTGCTTCTGGTAATGATGAACTAATAAGGGTCATTAACCCTCCCACTAAGAAAATGTGGAGGAAAAATTCTGTGTGAAGGCACTGAACTATTAACAGGGCAGTGAAAAATTATGGCGCCCATATCTAGAAGGAAATCCAGAGCGGAGGAGCCTAGCGTTTGAGATCATCTTTCCTTGGGCATCTGCTGATTCTAGAAGAGGGGCCTGAGAGTGCAGAAGCTGAACTTTAACTTGCTAGTATTTTGTGAATAATTTTGGGGTTTATCTTCACGGGAGATGTTAGTCTGCAGTTTTATTTTCTTGTATGTGTTTGTCTGGTTTTGGTATCAAGGTGACGCTGGCTTCATCCACAAGTTGCTCTTCCTCCCCGCTCCAATTCACTGCTGAACCGTGAAGATCATAAAACAACAAAAATGCACAGCATCTATTCCCACGTTGCATATTAATGCTTACCAGTCCTACTTATCCCTTGGGCCAGGTAACATGTCACTTCACCTTTGTTTCTGGGGGTGATAGCACTTTTCGTGATAAGCTGTGAGACTCTGGAATCAGTCCCAGAGGCAGAGACTAAGCCTAATCCATCTTGGTATGCCTAGGTTGAGCTGGCATTCACTAGGTATGTACCATGGCTTTTTCGAGCTTCGTTCACGTGTTTAACATTTTGGCAAAGGAAACGTGGAAGTCCTACCTGGTGGGGTTCCTCTTGTCTTCCTCAGAGATCAAAAACCAAACAAAATCTGCATAGCTCATTCGTCCTTCTTTCTGTACTGTTTCTCCTCTGGGGAAAACAAAACACAACAAAACAGGATCACATGGTTTTAAAGTTTCCTGAGAAATTACTCGGATAAATTTAGTAGGATGATAGACAAAGAAATAAAGTAATACCTTCCTTTGGAAATTTAGTTAAGCTTTAAAAAAATAAGAATGCTGGAAACCTTACAAAGGGCAACCCCGTCCATGGTGTATCTTGTTTTCAAAGGCCTAACAGGTGGAACCAGAGGCATTTGCAGTATATGAAGAAAGATACCTGGTTTCTAATCTAAATGCAAATAATCACCAGGATCAAATACTGTTATCTGCATTTAAAGGACTAGTGCTCATATATTAAAGAATTACTACGGTTTTGTATGAAGCCATCACTGTATATGTTGTTGGTTATTATCTGACTTATAGCACTGTCAAATTATGCAGGAAGCCTTGCTAAAATGAGATTTCTACAGTTTTACTTGTAGTTTTTTTTTGTTGTTGTTTTTAAAGATTTTATTGGGGAATTGGGGGAGAGGAACAGTGTTGCGGAATCGGGGAAGGGGAACAGACAAGTTGCTGTCCTTTTGCTCTTCAGTCTAGTTGTGGAGGACGTCGCTTCACTGGCCCATGTTGGTATTATCATTGCGCTCTTCCCGGCTGAGGCAGATTGCTCGCCGGCCATTGGATGGCTGCTCATGGCGGCTCACAACAGCTCATGCTGGCTGCCGGCTGCTCACGCTGGCTGCCAGCCACTCACGGTAGCTCATGGCAGCCCACTGCAGGAGGGGCTGCAGCCATCACCGATGTGGGCAACTTTCACGGCAGCCCAGCTCCAGGTTGAGCTGTTGTTCATCATCTTAGCTGTAGAGGGCACAGCATCACTGGCCCTCATGTGGGATCCGAACCAGGGCCCTGCTGCTCAGAGCTGGTGTCCCAAGCCAACTAACTCTTAACCAGTGCACCACTCGGCCAATCCTTGTAGTTCATTTTTAAATTCAGATGCTTTTTCTTACCTTGTTACTGCCCCAGAGAATATCCTTTCAATAATCCTGTTTGATGAGGCTAAATGTAAATAGGAAAAGTACAGAGCTAGTTACAAACATGCTCCATTAAGTCAGTACTTTTGGCAAATTTATTTTCAGTAGCTACAAGCTAAAACATAATAATCTTCCATGATGAGCAGTTAAATTTTTACTTTTATATAATTTATACTTTTTCAAAGTAACAATTTGAGGTGGCTCCATTAATCAATCTTTAAAAAAGAACAGTCAAATGGATATGCCTGACAGCTGGGATGTATTAATACAGTTGAGGGCCAAGTTAGTTTCTGAACATCCTGACAACTAAGACAAAAATGTATAGAAGTTGTATTGATCTTGTTGTCAAATAAGACAACTTTCCCTCTAAAACAAGACAGATTTTATCCTAGCATTCAATTCAAGGGGGAACTGATCATCAGCTTCTAGTATAAGGTATGCAGAGTAAAATTATGAAGAATGCTTTCAAGTGGATTTTTACAAAACATACTATAAACATACATTTCTTATATTCTCATTCTATAAAAGTCCAGGATATAACATGATATAATATATAATTTTTAGAAATTCCATCAGTAAGTTATTTTTTTATTAAATTATTTTTTATGAAATACACATTTTTTAGAATTAGTTTCAGCTGTACAACACAGTGCAAGTTATACTTTTTACGCCTTGAAGTGACAACCCCCCTCCCCTCCATCAGTAAGTTTTATTCAAAGAGAGAAACGTATCTTTTTTTTTCTTTTTTTCAATAACAGTTGACATTCAACATTATTTTATATTAGTTTTAGGTGAGAGAGACAGTTATAGCTTATGATAGTATGTTGCTTTTGATGATAGATCTTAGAGGATCTATAACAGTGTACCTCATTGTGGGTTCAAAAAGCCAAAGACATTAGCTTAAAAAAGAAGATAACAATGGATCTCAGACCTAGGGATGTGGTGAGGACAGGAAATTTTTCTTTTAACAAGTACCTCAGACAATGACATGCACACTAAAACTTCAGAACCAGTGATAAGGTCTTTATAGAGTTAGCAGCTATCAGCATCTTAACACTTCTGCATAAAGTTAAATATATAGTCAACATAAAGGTAAATTAGTTTGGCTGAAGAATGCTGGGAATTGGGGTGTCAGTACAGCCATGTCTGACCACACACCAAAACTTATGTAAGGACCTTTGCTGAGCATTGGTTTATGGGGTTAATAATTTGTAGTAGATAGAAAAAGAGAGGGCTATATAGGAAAGGCAAGGACATTTAACTCCAAAGCTAAAGTCTTTCTGAAAGACTTTCTTAGATTTGGAAGGTTTAGTCTCCTAAAACTGAAGATCCTGTTTTCCTATTGAGGACAGGCTGGTGAGTGGGCAATTATGTAGTTTCAGTGACCCCTTCATTATGCAAGCCTAGTTGCCTGCTTTTCTGAACTTCGTCCCACTAACAGGCCTCTAATGAGCTGCTATGTGTGGATATACAATATTTTAGGACTTAATGAGAATTATGGTTATGTCAGCCAGAGAGGGTGCTTTAGAGCTCATAGGGTTTTGCATGATCTCTAGAGGCTGGCTTATATTATACAGATGATCTGGCCACTGGTAATTAGAAGGTGCATAGCTAAAAAAGCTGACTGATATCCCTATCTCCATCTGTTTGCTATTTTGGTGATAGGAATGTTATGAATACTTGAAGAAAGGAGGATATAGTACTAAAACACTTATCAAATAAGTACATTGGAGTATTTCCTCTTGGTGCCTGGTTGTTGGCACCTGAGAATTTGAGAGGTAGAACTCTGTTTCTTAAATATGAAAGTTCTATGAAACGTAACGTCATATAGAATGAAACTTTCCTTAAGAGGTGTTAGTTGCAAACATGCCAAATAGCAGAAATGAAATTCAGTGAATTTATTTAAGATTTGTACTGTGCTACATCTAAAAGGCTAAAAAGGCTGATTTTAAAAAAATCAACAGTGCCAGAGAAGATGTTTAAGAATACAACAGGGACAATCTTATGAGAGAAGAATGAATCAATGTATCTTGGTGCTTGGTTAAAAATATTAAATCAGCAGGTTACAGGTTCTAAGTTTACTACTGGTAAAAATGAAGGAAAAAGGGTAATATCGTGTGATATGTACTATTTTGTTTTCTGACAAAAGAAAGCACACAAAATTCATCTGCAAAGAAAATATCTTTCCTGGAACTAAATTCCAAAAAGTAAGTTTTTATAAGAGTCCTTGAAAACACTGTCACATTAGAAACATCATTTTCATCATTGGCTGTTTATAAATACTATAAAATAAGAAGTTTATGAAGGTGTATACACATTCTCTTTCAAATTAACTTTTTATAGGTATGGATTGTGTTCAATTCATCATCAGAAAATAAACACTATTATAGAGGCTGCCAGTTCATCAAAACTAATTGCTTACTTACCTCTAAACCCCTTCTCCTATACCTGGCTTCTAAATAAAAAATTAGTATCTTCACCCATTCCCACTTAAAAATTCTCGGCCCTGATTAGGTATAGAATTTAAGAAATGGGAATTCTCATAATGTTTGGAGACAATTTATATAAGTCTTGCCTTCTTCTATAAAATAGTTACATCTTAACATCTATAGAAATACTCACCCTGGTCATTGTATCGAGACAAATCAGCCTGGCTGATGTACAAGTCATGATCACTATCTAGTTCCCAGAATTTACAATAAATAACATAGAAATGTTCATAGGAGAAGTAATCTGTGATTTGGTTTATATCTTCCTCTTCTTCCAAAAGGGCTAAAGTCTGAAAAGTACGAATAGGAGGAAATTTATTTTAAAATTATTAAAACCCAACTTTGGCCATTATTCAGAATCTAGTAAATTTTTATTTTAAATTATTTAAAAAATTTGATTTTTGTATCAAACCAGGAACTTTAATAGGCAACCTCATCTTCCCTTTAATTAACTGAGTGATCTATGAGCATTTATAAGCTCTGTAATATGCTTAGCAAAGGGTTAGATGCTATGGAGGTTTTAAAAGAAGAAAAAGGGAAGGACCATCACCAACGGGACAGCAGCCTATGAGAAGTCCCCTGACTAGCAAGGACAATTAGACAACAGGCTTAATTACCTGGCCAAAAACTGACATTGCTTTTAACTTGCAAAGTTATGAAGACTGAGCATCTATTCTATTATGAAGTGTAGGCATCCACATACAGGGTTTGGTTTTGTAATGAAATGAAGTTTACCATAAACATGACTTATGTACACCACGGTGATGATGTGTGGTGGCCTTGTATAGAAACATGGGTGTGTGTGTGTGTGTGTGTGTGTGTGTGTGTGTGTGTGTGCACGCGCGCACGCATGCGCAGCTGCAGGACCCTGAGCTGGAAGTAAACCTAGGTTTCCCCTGACTCACTGTGCACCCCTAGGAAACCAACAGAAACAATGATTTTGAAACCAGAATTCTTATAATTACCCAAATTATCATATAAGTGGGCAGATAAGTGAAGGCATTTTCAGAAATGAAAAGATTTAGAAAGATCCCTTTTACCCTCCTCTATCACCCCTCTCCCTCCTTACTCTCTGGTAACCACTAAACTATTGTCTGTATCTATGAGTTTTTGTTTCTTTGTCTTGTTCCTTTGTTGTTTTCAGTTTTATATCCCACATATCTGTGAAATCATATAGTTCTCGACTTTTCTGTCTGACTTATTTCACTTAGCATAATAATCTCAAGTTCCATTCATGTTGTTGCAAATGGCAGTATTTCATCTTCTCTTATGGCAGAATATTATATTCCATTGTGTATGTATACCACATCTTCTTTATCCAATCATCTATTATTGAAGGACACTTTGGTTGTTTCCAAGTCTTGGCTACTGTAAATAAAGCTACAATGAACATTGGAGCACTTTATATCTTTATGTATATCTTTATATATCTTTATATATCTTTATATTATATCTTTATATATCTTTATGTATAAATGTTTTCAGATTTTTTGGGGAGATACCCAGGAGAGGGATTGCAGAGTCATATGGTAATTCAATTCTTAATGTTTTGAGGAACTGCCACACAGCCTTCCATAGTGGCTGCATGGTGATGGAAGGAAAACTGACTCTGGATGGTGAACACACAATGTGATATATAGATGATATATTACAGAATTGTACACCTGAAGCCTATGTAACTTGACTAATCATTGTCACCCCAAGTAACTTTAATTTAATAAAAAGATTCAGAAAGATAAAAGAAACCATAAGGAAACTTAGGAAATAGAAAAAACAAAATGAAATGACAGAAATAATATCAGATATATCAACAATCACAATAAAGATGAGTTAAATCTCCCTATTAAAAGATTTTCAGATTGAGTCTAAAAACCAAACCAAAAAAAGAGATCTAGGTATATGCTGTCCAGCAGAGATGAGTCTAAAATAAAATTTAAAAGGAAATGTTAGAAAAGATGGACTAACATACTAGCTAAATCTTAATGGAAAGAAAACATGTCAATGTTATTGGAAAGTAAAATGGAATTTGAGGTAAAAAAACATTAAGGGACAAAGGTGAGTATTTCATAATGCAAATGTATTACTTTGATAAAAATATTTTATAAAATGTAAATACTGGGAAACCAAAATGCTTAAGCAAATTGAAAACATAAACTATTAAATTATGGGAAAACTACTCAATGGAAGGTTATGCAGACAGCAAAAATTATAGTCTACATAGAAACAAAAGAAAACCATGGTGTGGTAAGTGCTAAATACAGAATACAACATTGTACAAACTAAGAACTACGCAAAACTGTAACTTCCAAATATGTATATGAACGAGATTGGAAGAACACATACAATGATATTATTAGTTATGTTAGGGTGAATAAAATATGATTTTCCTTGTTTTCCAAACTTGCTTGTAATGTTTTATTTTATAAAATGCTCTTTAATGTGTATAAAGCAGAATATTTACGATTAAACAAATCTTGAGAAGCAAGGAGCTCTCATTTTCATAAAATGAAAAAGATGAATAATTTCTGGATTTTCCCTCCAGTAGTCTATTCCAGAGAAATTCTTGTAAGAGGAAAGTACAAGGATTTCATTGCATCATTGTAATAGGGAAAATATGAAAATGACTTGAACATCATCAACAGAGGAATATATAATTAATTACAGACAGTATAGCCATGCCATAGCTTATGTAATAGTTAAAAGAATAAGAGATTTATTTGAATGGGAATGAAAAGAATGTCAAGATACATTAATTAAAAAAAACAAAGTCAACAGAATAATTAGTATGATCTCACATATTACACAAAACTCAAAAAAGCAGCCATATAAAACAAAACTACACACACACACACACACACAAACATACACACACAGAAATAAAACCATAGATAATATGGGTTCCCTTTAGGTGAAGGAGTGAAATGGCACGATGAAGAGATAAATAGTGACTTCAGATTATTATTCTAGATATGTTCATGTTATTTGAATGTTTTATGAGCATATATTCATGTGCTACGAGGAGGACTAAGGAGGGGGATAGGGAAGAAAATAGAGGGGAAAATAAATCATGCTCTAGGAAGCAAAACACTTGAGTTCTATTTCCAGGTCAGCCACTTACTTGCTGTTTGATCTTATCTAAGTCATTCAGTCACATTTGGGCCTCAAATTTTATCATCAGTAAAAAGAAAATACGGATTATAATAATGATCCAGAAACTATTATACAAACTCTAATATGCTTCAGGAATGTGAAGGATTATCATCATTCTTAAGGTATAAGGCCTCTTTTATGGAATTATTGCCATTTCAACCCATTCCATATTACCTACTAAGAGCCCAGGCAGGCATCAGGTGTTCAATAAACATTAATAATGACTGTGAAGATTACTGTTCATTTTAGAATTTAAAGTTATATATCTATTATGGGCTACTCATTTTGCCAAGTCTTCATTACTTTGTCCCAGATAAAGATAGGGAAAAATAAAGAGTAAATAAGTTTGTCTTAGTAGCTTAAACTTCATTTAGTATAATTCATTTAAAATAAACTATTTCATTTCAAGTATGAACAATTGTACTTCTTTAGATTAACAGAAGCTTGAACAATCAGCATGAAGATTATCTCGGTAAAAGGCTCCCACTAGTGGCCAATACTTTCTGTCTCATAAAATAAATAAAATAATTGAATGAAATGTACTCTTCCTGAAAGAATTTTTAGTACTTTTTTTTCCAGCAGGAACTGTATAAAGAGTCATTGCTGAATGGATCATGTGGAAATTCCTCTATTTCCTTTGCAAGGCCCTTCCCAACCTGGTCCCATCTCACCCCTCTGGCCGTAACACTGGTCACTCTCTGTGGAGTCCTTGGCCACTTAAGGCTGTTCTGCAGTTCCTCAATAAGACACTTTCATGCTTCTGGGTCTTTGCTTATTGTACTGCTTCCTCTACCTGGAATCCCCTTTTCTTCTAAGTTTTTTTATCTTGGTAAACTGGTATCTTCAAGGTCAAGATCACATGCTGATCCTTCTGTAAAGCCTTCTCTGCATATTTATTACACATTTCTGTGGAATTTTTCAAGTCAGGTGTGGCTGTGCACTTTCTCTCTTGCTCCACAGTGCATACCTTGATACAAAAATCCCTTGTTATTCATCTCTGTTCCCCCCAACACATCCCAGGTATCTGATAAAATGCTTAATGACTGAAAGTAGTGATAGAGCTTTGCATGTAATAAGCACTCAAATATTTGTTAAGTGAAGTAAGAATATTAGTTTAAATTGCTCCTTATATGTGAATTCCAATGAGAGGCATACTTGCAAAAAGTTGCTTTTTCTTATCTCTGTTGAAGTAATTTTTCCACTCCAAGATCTGTTGACTGTGTAGAATATTCTCTGAATAACCTGGTTCCAAAAGGAAAACAAACCAAATAAAAACAGTAAAGATATATATTAGTTTACCAAAGGCCATCTTATTAATACACTTTGAACCAAGATAAGTTTTGGCTTTTTGATTATGTCAAATGTCATTTCTAGCAAAAATTAACACTCTATTTTAAAAATCTACATCCATATAGTTTGTATCTGCCCCGATCATTCCAAGAAGAAAAAATATGTATTCTCTGCTCACAAGTCTGCATTTCCCAGCTTACATGTCACTTTCTTTGCTTACCTATCATCTTATATAGTGATGTCTGATCTGATTCAAGTAGTGCTTATTGGGCTGGATGCTTTGGGAAGGTAAATGAGGTGGGAAATATATGCTGGATTGGTTTAACATTCAATAGGTCAGAAGAATGGTTGCCAACATGATATGAGCCAAGAGGGCATTATTCTGGTTATTATAGCCTTCTTCATTGGAATTTTGAAGACCTCTAGTCTTCCAGACTCTCTCTAGAAACTCAAATACATATGGAATAGTTTATATCCCAAGTCCTTATTTGGGGATTAACAATTTTGTTGCTAGCTAATGTTTTAATGAGTTTAACAGATGTGAAACTATGAAGAAAGCCCTGGACAGGAATGGGAGAGAAGGGAGTAGCAACAAATATGCCCGTGATTGAGAATGTGTGTGCTGTGATGTAGGGAGAATTGGAAAAGGAAGACAAGGCTGCAATCCAGGAGGTAGGAGGCCACAGTGCATTCTTAACAATTTTACCTGGGGTTATTCCCATGCATTGAATTTCCCTTTGATCTATTAGGTTTTTCCCCCCGCTCCAAAAGGAAGCAGTGGTGGGAAGAAAAATTTAAGTGGCTTTTTTGGTACTTGGTTTTGATTGTCTAATAACATAGAAATCCTGTGTCCTTGGTGGTTTAATCATGGAAGAGGGTAGAACCTTTAAAAAAATTATTTTAGTGCAAGAAAACAAAAAGGGAAAGATATGTGGACATCTGCCCAAAGAGTAGGCCTAATGAGGGACTAAACCACCATTCTGCTTCTTTGAGAAACAGTAATTCTCAAAAAGAACAGGGAAGGGTCGGCCGAGTGGCGCATTGGTTAAGAGCTGGCTTGGGACACCAGAGGGCCCCGGTTCAGATCCCACATATGAGGGCCAATGACACTGTCCTCCACAGCTAAGATGCTGAACAATAGCTCAACCTGGAACTGGGCTGCTGTGAGTTGCCGGCAACGGCGTAGGCTGCAGCCCCTGCTGCAGTTGGTTGCCAGTGGCTACCGTGTGTAGCCAGCAGCCAGCGAGAGTGGCCAGTAGCTGCAGTGAGCGGCCGTCCAGAAGTCGGTGACTGATCTGCCTCGCCTGGGAAGAGTGCAATGATGGTGCCAACTTGGGCCAGTGAAGCAACGTCCTCCACAACTAGACTGAAGAACAAAACGACAGCAACTTGTCTGTTCCCCTTCCCCCAATTCCCCAATAAAAATCTTAAAAAAAAAAAAAAAAAAAAAGAACAGGGAAAAACTAGCCTCAGGATGAAGATCCACACTTCTGCTGCCTGGCATTCCTCAGCCTACCCCTGCTATCAGTGCCAAGTCCTTCTGACCCGTTAGCATCTAGCTCAGCTGCCAACTCCATAGGAAGGCCCAGAACAGGGCTGGGGTAGAACTCTGCCTTCGATGCTCCTGTGGTCACCTAGGTCTCCTTCAGTCATCCTGTGGTTATATTCTTAACACTGGTGCACCTGACCGTCATCACCTCCAAACTCTATGAAACTAGGTCTTTCTTGACTTGCGTCCCAGTGCCTGACATGATGCTCTGCACATATCAGGTGGTTAATAATTGTTTGATAAATTTTTTAAAACTGAGGTATCACTGACATACAGTACTCGTATATTAATTTCAGGTATACAACATAACAATTCAATATTTGTATATATTGTGAAATGATCACCACAGTAAGTCTATTTAACATCTGTCGCCATACATAGTTATAGAATTTTTTCCTTGTGATGAGAACGTTTAAGATTCACTCTCTTAGCAGCTTTCGAATATGCAATACAGTATTAACTGTATTCGCTATGCTGTACATCACATCCCCAAAACTTTTTTATTTTATAACCGGTAGTTTGTAAGTTTTGACTCACTTCAACCATTTCTCCCCCTCATCCACCCCACTGCCTCAGCAATCTATGAGTTTGATTTTTGTTTTTTAGGATTCTACATATAAGTGAGATCATACAGTATTTGTCTTTCTTAGTCTGACTTATTTCACTCAGCATAATGCCCTCAAGGTCCATCAATGTTGTCTCAAATAGCAAGATTTCATTCTTTTTAATGGCGGCATAATATTCCACTGTATGGATTTTTTTCTTTATCCATTCATCCATTGATGGACACTTAAGTTGTTTCCATATCTTGGCTATTGTAAATAATGCTGCGATTAATATGGGGTGCATATATCTTGTTGAGTTAGTGTTTTCATTTTTTTTGGATAAATACCCAGAAGTGGAATTGATGGATCATATGATAGTGTTTTTAATTTTTCAAGCAATCACCAAACTGTGTTCTGTAGTTGCGGTACCAATTTACAGTCCCACCAATAGTGCACAAGGGTTTCCTTTCCTCCATATTCTCACCAACACTTGTTATATAATATATTGTCTTTTAACTAATAGCCATTCTAACAGGTGTAAGGTGATATCTCATTGTTGTTTTGATCTGCATTTCCCTGATGATTAGTGAAGTTGAGCTTCTTTTCATGTACCTGTTGGCCATCTGTATGTGTTCTTTGGAAAATTGCTTGATAAATTAATGAGGTTTGAAAGTTATGTAACAAAGATTTTTGTGTTACATTTGTGACAGAGACATACTTGTATGGGTTGGATTCATAGCTAGTTGAATAACTATTCAGTTTTTTTAAAATTATAATGTTTTAATATAAATTGTATATACTTTTTTTTTTTAGATTTTTTAATTGGGGAATTGGGGGAGGGGAAGAGTGTTGGGGAATTGGGGAAGGGGACCAGCCAAGTTGTTCTTCAATCTTCACTGTGGAGGGCGCCAGTCACCATCTGGCTGCCAGTTGGTAGCTCATGGCCTCTAAACTCAAGGTGCTGTGTTCAATCTTAGTTGCGGGTGGGCATAGCCACCATCCCATGTGGGAGTCAAACCAGCAAACTTGCTGTTGAGAGCACACACTCTATCCACTGAGCCATCAGGGCGGCGGCTCAGCTCAAGGTGCCAAGTTCAGTCTTAGTTGCGGGTGGGCATAGCCCATCATCGAACTGGCAATCTTGTTACACCAGCTGAGCCATCCTGCCACCTGTTGGCAGCTCAGCAACAGCTCAGGTCGGCATCACTGGCCCATGTGGGAATCGAACTGGCGGCCCTGTTGCTGAGAGCTGGCGGCCCTGTTGCTGAGAGCTTATGCTCTTAAGCCAACTCTTAACCAACTGAGCCACTCGACCGGCATCTATTCAGTTTTGAATAGCAGATGGATGCCAATCCAAAAAAGGTCTCTAATTAGTATTTCACATAAAGCAGTATTATCTATGATTTATAGATTGCATATAAAATATGCAGAAAACATAAAACAGGAAGGGTAAATATATTCAAAATTATTCTGAAAGATAACTACTAATGTAGTAACATTTACTCTTTTCTCTCCCTCCTGCACTTTGGTGTTTTATTATCACTTCCAAATCTCAGGTGCACATACAGGAGTAATATTAATCTCGAGGAAAAAAATAAGATTGGAGTGAAGATGTGACCATGATCTGAATGGCTGGCTGAGTATCAGGTAGAAGAAACTGACTTTTCTGTGTTGTACCAGAGGGCAGAATTGGAACTACTGGATAAAAATGCCCTTATTCTGAAATGCTTCAGAATAAGGAGGAATTTCATAAAATTAGCTCTATGAAGCAATGGGTTGTATGAAGCCATAAGGTTTCTTCTCACCACAATTATTTAGGTAGAAGTTGTCAGGATTTCTGCATTAGTTGGGAGCTGGGACCACCTGGTGTCTAATTTCACTACTGGCCCCAATCACTCAGACTCTGACTGAGGTATTTCAGGGCAGAGACTGTGTCTTAATACTATATTCTTAGCACTAGCATGGAAGAAGTTCATATAAAAAAAAGGATTTTTACATTGGAAATGATATATATACATATATATATGTATATATACATATATATGTGTATATATATACATATATATCATTTCCAATGTAAAAATTAATATAATATATATATATATATATATAATACATAATGAAAATAAATGTTAAGAATATCATTTATCATAGTTCCATGTCCCCACTCTCAAGTTAAAGTCAATTTCAATACATATTATTAAACAAATTTTTTCTTGTTGAACATTAGATTTTGTTTTTTTTTTAAAGATTTTTATTGGGGAATTGGGGACGGGGAACAATGTTGAGGAATTGGGGAAGGGGAATAGCCAAGTTGTTGTCCTTCAATCTTAGTTGTGCAGGGTGCAGCTAGCTCAGCTCCAAGTCCTGTTGCCATCTGGTCGCCTGTCAGAAGCTCGCAGCCGCACAACTCAAGGTGCTGTGTTCAATCTTAGTTGCAGGTGGGTGTAGCCCACCATTCCATGCAGGAGTCAAACCAGCAACCTTGTTGTTAAGAGAGCACGCTCTAACCACTGAGCCATCCTGCTGCCTATTGGCAGCTCAGCTCGGGCACAGCTCACTGGCCCATGTGGGAATCAAACAGGCGACCCTGTTGCTCAGAGCTTTCGCTCTTAACCAACTGAGCCACTTGGCCGGCCCGCATTATTAGATTTTCGTTCTTAAACAGGATTTTTTAAAAAAAGATTGTTATTGGGAAATTGGGGAAGGGGAACAGACAAGTTGCTGTCCTTTTGTTCTTTAGTCTAGTTGTGGAGGACGTTGCTTCACTGGCCCAAGTTGGCACCATCATTGCGCTCTTCCTGGGCGAGGCAGATCAGTCACCGGCTTCTGGACAGCCGTTCACGCTGGCTGCTGGCTACACACGGTGGCCCATGGCAACCCACTGCAGCAGGGGCTGCAGCCTACACCATCGCCGCAACTCCTGGCAGCCCAGCTCCAGGTTGAGCTGCTGTTCAGCATCTTAGCTGTAGAGGGCAGTGTCACTGGCCCTCATATGTGGGATCCAAACCGGGGCCCTCTGGCGTCCCAAGCCAGCTCTTAACCAACATGCCACTTGGCCGGCCCTGTTCTTATTTCTTGATTTTGAATATAAATTTATCTTTTTTTTTTTAAGTTGCAGAAAAAGGAGTTTATTAAAAGAAATATATTTCAAGGAAACAGAAGCAGGCCCAAACAGTAGTAGAGAATGGCTCAAAGGCCATTATTGGAAAACAAAGTACACTCCGAAGTGGACCCCGAGCAGAGGCAAGGCTCAAAACGCTCAAAAAAGGTCGAATATAAATTTATCATAAAGTCTAAGTTTTCTATCTTTCTAAATTCTATATTTATGTAATCCTGAAATATTTTATATTACTTACGGAAGTACTGTGTTACACTTAAAATTGTAAAACTTTAATCTGTACTTTTGCTAATTTTATTTTCTTGTTTTTTGTTTGTTTTGGGCAGAATTTTTTTTAATTTGCAAATGTTTTGACTGTTAAGCAGTTCGTATTTTAGCCTCTGTTAACCTCCTTCTCTAATACTGTAAAAAAAGAAAGTACTGTATTCCATTTTCTATAGTCTAAATCTCCTTATTTAGTGGCCCCACTTCATCAACATATTTATTGGTTTCCACATTACTGATTCAGCATTTTAGCTTACCGAGGTAGGGGCACCACCTAGTGGTGAGAGCTTTTAGCTGCTAATTCTACATTCAATTCCCTCCCTTCCCCCCAAGTTTGGCCTACCACTTTTACGTAAATAAAAAAGAAATTAAGCACATTAAAAAATACGTATAGAACAAAATTTAGAAATTAATAATAACAATAACTTTCCTTCTAGCGAGGGGAATGAATTTTGACCAAGGGATCTCTAGTCACCTTGATAGAAAATTAAATCATAAGTGATTTTCCTTTATTTTTCTTTGTATCTATTGAATTAGAAACCTCTAATTCACAATTACAGGTCACCAGGAATGGAGGTAAGTGTTTAGTGGATCTGTCAGATAGTTTTTGACAAGTGGATCGAATGCAGACACAGAAATTACAGCGATTGATCATTGTCGACGACTTGAATGCAGATGAACATACTCAAATGCTGAAAGCGTGGCTCTTCTACTTGGCAGGGAGTGGTGAATGGGTTCCTGATACACTCTGGTTAATATGGCTCTGAAAAGTATTTCTTCATGCTCTTCTGCAGAATTTGCACTTAAAAAAAATCTAATAAAAATCAGTTCTTTCTCTGTCAAGGGGAAAAGTTCTCAAGGAGAAAGTTCAGCAGCTGTTAGTGATAGGCAGTCTCCGCCACAGTTTAGTCATCTCAGGAAATACCAGTACCTTGTCCTCAACAATTAAAATCCTGGCATTTCAGCCTGAAGTGATGGATTCAGGCCAATCAAGACACTGAATAATACATCACTAAGACACCATCTTAGCAAGACACAGAAATATCTTTACTGCCAGCACTAATGTCATAAAGAAGTATTTTCATTCTCATCACTGATTTTAAAACCTCATGCGAGCACCTCGTGCCTCAAAAGTCAGCATATGCCAGTTAGGATAAGCAGAGCTTTTATTCACTGGCAGTTTCTTTGCATGGCATGAAAAACTGCAAACTCAAGGGCTACAATTTGCTGGTATTTCCAATTTTCGTTTTCATTCAATATCAAGAGGTTTATTTCTCAACTGACAACTCTTCTCTGGAAATAAAGAATACGGAGTGATGTTACGTGCAATTCCTTATTTGGGTAGTGATGTCTTATTTGCTGTATGCCTAGTTGGTGCTTGCTTACCAGTCTAAAAACAGCTTATGAAATAATTAAACAAAAAATATTTTTATATAGCATAGGTTTTCAGTGATAAATAGAAAACAAAAGTTGCCCAACTTTTCATCATATATGTGCCACACATAAGCTAATATTTGAGTCATACCCTGTGTCAGCAGTTTCTTCCAACAGTAAAGTGAAATAACTAAATAGCTTTAGCATGCAAACAAAATATATTAATTGTTTTACGTGTATGACACTTACATTACGTAATAGTCAATAGGATAATAAGATAAATTAATTTTGCTTTTTCTGAGATATTTGTCGTTAATGCTGAGGCTGATATTTGTAAGTGTATTGGAAATAAACCCTGTCTGGCATAAGCAGGGTTTAGAAAGATGCCTCTCTAATTTGGCCACTTCTATGCCTTTAACAACATAATTAATTTCACACTAGAAATCTTACATTGTATTTGTTGTAGAAAAACTCTGAAGTAATGCAAAAATTTCAATGATTTCATGCCATTATTTAACCAAATTTCCTAATAGAAAAGGCACTGGGAGAGCATAACCAGTCCAATAAAATTCTGTTTCCAGATATTCACTGTGATACTTTTTTTTTTTTTTCTCTCCTTTGGATGGTAGTATGAGATTATCACTACAGCAGATACACTTACCTCAGTCAGTACATACACATTCACATTCTATATTCGTAACTGGATCTTGTTTACTACTTATGTTTTGATGCTGTTTGAGCTGCTCTGTTATCATTATTTCATTACAAGTATTTTATATTTAATGACTACCTCTGAGCAATGGATTCATTTTTGTTAACTTGGGATAAAGCAGCATAATACTAATAAAGTATAAATTTAAAAATGTAAATAATATGCAAATACCATGAAAATATGTCTGCTAAGATAATTATCTGTATCCTGTTAAATGACCAATGTAGCTCTTTCTGGTCAATAATTAACATAATAGAATTTCTCAGAAAATGCAAATTATATGTGAACAAAATGATTTTGTGGCTTTTTACTCTGACATCATTAAACTTTCTGGGGACCACTTGCTAAATGACCACACACCATTACTTAAATACCAAACTAGAAAGTGTAAAGAAAGAAAATTTGTCTCTATTTTACAATTCTGATCTTTACCATCTTTTCTAACAATAAATTTCAATAAAAAGTTCCTCTATAGAGAGCATTTTCTGAATTGGTAGAAGGTTGGACTAGATTATCTCTAAGATCTTATCCAACTCTTAAGATTCTAAATTATGCTATTAATATGCCCTGAGTTTATAGAACAGTCAACCATTAGAACCCAAAAATTCCCTTTGGGATTGAAGCCAGAGTTAATGTGTAGAATTCTTAAACATGAATACTTTCACTTATTCACTCAATAAATACTGTATCTATTATGTACTAGGTATTATCCTAGGTATTGGGGATACAGCAGTGAAAAATATCGACAAAGTCCCTGCTCTCATGGAATTTATATTATAGAGGAGATGGACAATAAGTATCAGATGATATGAGAGCTAAGAAGAAAAACGAAACAGAACAAAGGCATAGAGAGTGCAGGGGGAAGGGGCAGCAGGAGAAGAAGGGTGAAGAAGGCCGTGGGTCATCGGGGAAGGCCTCACTAATAAAGGAATACCTGAGCACACAGCTGGATGAAGTGAGAGAGTGAATCATGCGGAAATCTGTAAGAGGCGCGTTCTAGGCAGAGGAAAGAGTAAGAACAATGTACCTAAGGCAGAAGTTGGGTTTGGTCTGTTCCTGCAACAGCGAGGAGGCCATTGTGGCTGGAGCAGAGAGCAAGGGGCAGGGTGGTAGGAGATAAGATCAGAAAGCAGGGAATGTGAGGGTGTTGGGGGGATTATGGAGAGTCTTGGCAAGGGCTTTGGCTTTTATTCTGAGTGAGATGCGAAACCACTGGAGGGTTTGAGCAGAGGAGTGATATGATCTGACTTAGATTTTCAATGGATAACTCTACCTTGTGGAGACTAGATTGAGGTTGTGGAAGCAGGGAGACCAATTATAAGTAATCCAAGTGAGAAACAAGGGTGACTGGGCGTGGGTGATTGAGGTGGAGGTCATTTAGTATAGTCTGTGGTTCATAGGCAATAACAACTGCTGAGACAGCCTTAGATGACAGTGACACCTTCTGGCTCAAATAAAGTCTTAAAAAGATTTATGAACACAGAGAACCAACCTAAAAGCAAAGAATGAAGTTCCTATAGGAGAAAAAAAAAAATGGTTGTATTCTGTAGCTTGGCAGAACCCAATAAATCCACGGCCAAAAAAAGTACCCAAGAATGAGAGGGTCTTCCTCAGAGGAGACTGACATATGTCCTGGGGGATCTGAGCCAGAGGTAAGGGCCATTGCACCTGAGTGTGGCTGTGAATGTGACGTGTGCCTGGGGTTCAACTTTGGAATTCCTCCAAAGACAAGGGCTGCAGTGTGCACTGCAGGCCTGTGTGCTCTCACTCCTAATTCATGCCTTGCCTGTGACTGATCAAATGCTGTACATGAGGAACAGGGAATGAGAAAGCACCTCACAAAACAGGAGATTGTGATTATGTTATTTTAAATTCTTACAGGATTTGTTTTCTGATTACACATAAGCTATTTCTTACTATCATTTCTACTTCTAACTTTGAAATACTATAGACACATCTTTTTCTGGGAATGGTTTTTGAAAATTCTTTTCAGTATTTGCAAATGCTAAACATCAACTGGTTATCAATATTTATGACACAGCAAAAGGTACACATACCTCTTAGGACCAGACAGAATGACTTTAATTTCCTCTTAAGCATTGGGTACATAGACTCGTAAGAAGGGAAATAGATATAAATTAATCAATTCAACTTTACTGGCCCGTCCTTCCACTTAAGATAATCATTATACCCCATGTTACCTTTTGCATGAAGATGTGAAACTGTGGCTACTAGGTAGTGATAGGAAACAGATTTATGGAGTTACATTAAGAGGAAAGAGGACTCGGCCTACCGTGGTGATGTAGCGGGAGTGGAATTCCGGAGCATCTTTCAGAAACGTGAGGCCAGGGTGTGTATCCACCACATCCTGCAAAAGAATAAAACCAAAACTAAATTAAACATACCAAAAAGCCAAATAAAATACCTACAGAATTTGTCCCTTACTGTGGAATAAGTTGCCAGCTGCACAAACTCACCATTGTAGAATATTGAACAATGCACTTAAAATTTAATTACCACTTTATTAAATTCACATTTTATCACAAGCATACTTATGTGTGCTCTTCAATATGCATAGTACATTTCAATAAAAAGTTAAAATTTTAATTTAGCTATATTTGGTAACTTGCGAATCAAATGTATTGTAATTCTAACACATCATGGAATGTCAGGGAAATCTATCCCGCAGTTCTTGGTAGGGGTTGCTAAGTGAAATTGTCACAGAAAAGATGATAGACACAAGCCAGCTACAGTGACTGTTTCTTAACCTAGAGTCATGGGAAATTTTTGAAAAAAACCCAGCCATGTAGCCAAGTAGTTTGAAATCTGTCTATGTTGCAAATAATTGTGTGGATAAATCTGTTCTCAATTTACAATTCTATTTTATTTTAAAATCTGATTGCTTGTTCTCATGGGAGACTATAAAAATATTAAAACCTTGAAATACTGTCTTTATGTTCTAATTAGATTTTTAAAGCACTCTGAACAAGCCTAGAGAACCTATTAGAGAAAATTTAATAACCAGAGGCAACAGCAATGCTAACATAGGTATAATCTATTAATTGGTTAGTCATCAATGGACAGACATCAGTTATATCTGTGTTGTTTCTTCAGAGCAGGTAGCTATACATGCCTACCAACAGAATCTAAAACCAATGGGCCTTTAACTTTTTTTTTTATAGTCAGCCTTTTTATTTATTAATTTTTTTATTATTTTTTTTATTGTTAGTTTCAGGTGTACAGAACAATACAATAGTTACCCTTTTTTCACCCTCACCAGGTAACGACCCCCCTCCCCCATCTATTGCCCTCCCACCCTCGATATCATGCTTATCTATTACAATTCCATTGAATCCGTTCCCGCTCTCTACTCCATGTCCCGAGACTATATGTATATATATATATATAATTATAGTTGACATACAGTATCATTCAACATCAGTTTCAGAAATACAATGCGGTGGTGGGCCTTTAACTTTTTATTTGGAAATAATTTCAGTCCTACAGCAAAGCTGCAAAAATATTACAGAGAAATGTTCTCCCAGCTTCCCATAATGGTAACAACTTACAAACCACAGTATAATTATCAAAACTAGGAAATGAGTATTGATAGAATACTATACTACAAACCTTATTCAAATTTTACCAGCTTTCCTTCTAGTGTCCTTTTCTGTTCCAGGATCTTACACTGCATTTAGAATTCTTGTGTCTCGTTGGTCTCTCCCAATTTGCGACAGTTTCTCAAGTCTTTCTTTGTATTTCATGATTTTGACTTAATGAGTCTGGTCAGTTATTCTATAGAATCTCTCTCCATGTGGTTTTGTCTGATGTTCTTTCATGATTAAAGTTACATACATTCAGCAGGTATACCATAGAAGTGATGTTGTATCCTTTTCAGTCATACAAGGAGTATGTGATGTTGAACGTGTCTTATGTCTTGTGGTGTTAACTCTGAGCACACTTGATTGAAGTGGTGTCTTCTAAGTTCGCCATCAAAAAGTTATTATTTTCCCTTAATAATTGATAAATATAGTGGGGAGACTCTGCCTAAATCCTGTTTCTGTGCAAACTTTGGCCCACTGATTTTGACAGCCATTGGTGGAACTTGACTGTGGCATTTATATTGTGGTGTTTACCTAATAGTGACTCTGTATTTCTCTCATTTCTTCTACATTTATTAACTGTAATTCTTCTGCAAGAAAGAGCTAGTTGTCCCTTCTCGACCATGTATTTATTGGTTCAAGTTATATCAGTATAGACTCATGAGTATTGATTTTATTTTATGGGTTATAATTCAATAAGATCATTATTTATTTTGTTTGCTCAAAATGAGATTAGCTTTGGCTCCTGGGAACTCTATCAGGTTGGCTCCTGTGTCCTCTTGACGTACCTCATCCTTTTGTGAGCACTTCCATATTTTTCTGGGCTCACAAGATGGTCCAGGTCTTATATTTTCCTTGCTCCAGCCCTGGAATCAACTTTTTTTTCCAAATAGCCCAGGTTCCTTTCATTGTAGAATGGTATTTAGAAACCAAATCAGGGTGCCAGGTGAGCTGATTACTAGGGTGTCACTGCTCTTGGGTTCTCTTAGCAGGCAGAACAGGAATATATGTATGTATACTAATCTACACACACACACACGTTTTTTTCTACAACTATCTCTATATATTAAGAACTATGCAATCCTACAGATAACTGATTTCAATCCAATACCACAAGGTTCATCATAGCCTTCCCCATTTTCTTTGTAACTTTAACAGAATTGGCAACCCACACACACCCCACTGAGAAACAAATTTACTAACTAGAGTACAGTATTTACAGTTCCTTTTGTCTTTAGTCATACAGTATCCAGTTAAAATACCATTTTCCAAGGTAAGTTAACGCTTTCCTTTTCTTACTTTATCCAATTTAATGTGGCTGTGTTATTAATTTGTAATACAGTTCAGTTCATTTGTTACTGTTTACATTCTATTTTGGGTTTCTTTCTCACAGGTCCTGCTTGATTTTAATTCCTTCTTTATTTATTGGAGGGAAAGTATGCGAAACATTACTATGGTTCTAAGAGTCAAGCTAATGTAGAATTGACATCTTCACAATGTCTTGTTCCCACCCATAAAGACATATCACTCCATTTATATAAATCTTCTTTAATTTCTCTCAGCAGTGTTTTGCTATTTTTAGTGTACAGGTCTTGCACATCTTTTGTCAGATTCATCTCTAAGTATTCAATATTTTGGGGTGGTATTATAAATGGTATTTAAAAAATTTTAATTTCCAAGTATTTGTTGCTAGTATATGAAAATAGACTTTTGTATTATATATTGAGCACTTATCTCTAGCCTTGCTAAACTCACTTCTTAAATATATCTTAACAATATCCCACAAATTTTGATATGTTGTGTTTTCATTTCATTCAGTACAATATACTTCCTAATTTTCCTTTGTATTTCTTCTCTGACACATGGGTTATTTAGAAGTGTTATTTAGTTATCATATATTTGGGAATTTTTCACAGATCTGTTATTATTTCTAATTTAATTTATGGTCAGAGAAGATACTTATGAGCTGAATATTTAAAATTTATTGAGATTTGTTCTGTGGCCCAGAATATGGTCTATCTTGGTAAATATTCTGTGTACATGTTAAAAGAATGTGCATTTTACTGTTGTCGGGTAAAGTGTAATATAAAGTATCAATTAGGTAATGTTGCTTGATAGTGTTGTTCAATTGTTCTATAGCCTTATTTAATTTCTCTCTATTCATTCTTGACAGCAGCACATGGAAATCTACAACTATAATTGTGAATTTATCTTTGTAGTTCTATCAGATTTTGCTTCACACATTTTGAAGGTATGTTATTAGGTTCATAAACATTTAAAATTGTTATATCCTGAATTGATCCTTTTATTATTCCCTAGCAATATTTTTTCCTGTAAAAACTCTTTTGTCTGATATTAATAAAGCTACCCAGCTTTCTTTTCTTTTAATGGTTAAAAAAACCCAAAACATAAAATTCATCCTCCCAACAACTTCCAGTTGTACAGTACAATACTGTCAACCACTTGCACACTGTTGTGCAACAGATCCCGAGATCCCAGCTCCCCAGTGCTGCATGACTGAAGCTCTACATCGACTAAACAACACCCCACCCCACCCCAGCCCAGCCCAATCCCTGGCAACCACAATTTTTCTTTCCAGCTCTATGAGTTGGCTACTTTAGATACCTCATATAGGTGGAATCACACAGTATTTGTCTTTTGTGACTGGCTTCTTTCACCTAGCATAATGTCTTCAAGGTTCATCCATGTTGTTGCATGTGACAGAATTTCCTTTTTTTAAAAAAGAGAGGACTCAAAGAAAACCAGAAATGAAAGAGAAGTAACAACTGCCACTACAGAAATACAAAGGGTTATAAGAAAATATTACAAACAATTACATGCTAACAAACTGGGCAATCTGGAAGAAATGGATAAATTCCTAAAAACATACAATCTTCCAAGACTTAAAAAATATAATCAGGTTATTTGTCGTTATTGAATCATAGGAGTTCTTTATATAATCTGGATATTAACTCCTTATTAGATACCTTTACAAATATTTTTTCCATTCTGTAGGCTGGCTTTCACTGTTTCCTTTGCTGTTCAGAAGTTTCTAAGTTTGATGTAGTCCCATTTGTCTAATTTTGCTTTTGTTGTCTATGCTTCTGGTACTATATCCATGAAATCACTGCCAAATCCAAAGTCATGAAGCTTTCCCTGATGTGTTCTTCTAGGAGTTTTATAGTTTTAGGTCTTTATCCATTTTGAGTTAATTTTTATATATCATTAAGATAAGGATGTAACTTATTTTTTTGCATGTGGATATCCAGTTTTCCTCACTGTGTACTCCTGACATCCATGTTGAAGATCATTTGATCATATGGGCTTTCTATTCTGTTCCATTGGTCTATATGTTTGTCTTTATGCCAGTAGCATACTGTTTTGTTGCTGTGGCTTTGTAGTATATTTTTGAAGTCAGAAAGTTTGAGGCTTCCAGGTTTGTTTTCCTGTCTCAGGATTGTTTTGGCTATTCCAGGGCCTTTGAAATTCCATATGAATTTTAGGATTGTTTTATCTGTTTCCGCAAAAAAAATACACTGTTATTTTTAAACAGTTTTATTAGGTATGACTGATATACAAAAAATTGCACATATTTACGGTGTACAATTTGATGAGTTTTAACATATGCATACACCCAGGAAATTATTACCACAATCCAGGTAATAGATATATCCATCAATTCCAAAGATTTCCCTGTGCTTTTATTTTTGGTAAGAGTACGTAACTTAAGATCTACCTTTTAATAAATTTTTAACTGCATAATACA